TTAGGGTAAAAAAATAAAATTAGGAGAAGGGTATTTTAGGTATTTGACTTAGGGGTACGGATGTACATGGAGAAATTATGGGGGTGAAGGAAGCAATTGCCATGAAATTTTAATCACTTGAGTCAATCGAACTAATTCATTCACTTTACAACCCATTTTCCAAATTAGTGTATTCTTGTAATTTATCATTTTACTTTTATATTCCAAGTAAAATAACTATAATAATTTTTCTAAAACATCCATTATGGAATGCATTTTTAAAAATACATTTTGGAACATCCGTAATATATTTCTAGAAAAGTCAATCCAAAAATGTATTCTAAATCAAGTATTCTGGAATACGTTTTCGAAAAATCCAATATGAAAATACGTCATAGAAAAAAATTCTAAAAACATGTTTTGGAGAGTGGGTTCCAAAATATATTTTCGAAATTAATTTTCTATAAATGTATTTCATATTGATAGATCCAAAATATACTTCCGGATTGTACATTTTGAAAGTATATCCCAAATCCATCAATTCGAATGCATTTCTAGAAAATGAATTTTCAAAATGTATTTTAGAACCCGCTTTTTTAAATATGTTTCTAGAAAAGTTTATCTAGAACTATGTTCTCAATCCCTTTCTAGCCAAAAAATTTCTTGCGGGGAGACTGTATATGATAAAAAAACTAATACAAATAAAAACAATTTTGAATTCTTACCAGTTTCTTATAATTCTTGTTCTTATCATTCTTGGAATAATATGAGAAAGAATAATAAAAATACTTTAGTAAGGTTTAAAAATCAGACATTCAAAGATTTAAAAATCAGAATAAATACTTAAAAAAATAAAATTAAGTGTAAGAATATAAAATATGATTTAATTTAATTATGGAGGTAGATGACCAAATTAGGGAGCTGGAAAAAAAAACAAGTGCTTTTCTAGATATCACTGTGCACGGTGTGAATTCGGGTTGGGAGCTGGAGCCCAACTTGTTTTGAATTCGAGCCCAACTCAATTTATAAATGTTTTTAAAATTTACTTTTTCAATCAATGAATTAATAATAAGTTAAGGAGTTAACAAACTAGTAAATTAATGAATTCATGAATTCATGAATTCATAAATAAAAAACTCACAAGTTAATGAATTAATGAATTAACGAAATAAATAATTAATTAATCAATATGTAAATAAATAAATTAATAAATAACTAAATTTATAATTAGTGAAAAATGAAATACTATAAAAAGTACATTAAAAAAAATCATGAAAATGATATTCATTATTATTGCAACATTTACCCAAGTATCACAGGCTGGTAAAGAACCAAACTTGATCAAACATTTTGTCAAACAAGTAGGAGCCAGATAGAACTTTTTTATACCAAAAAGTTGCAACTACTTTTCTAATTAATGAAGTGCACATGGTTAGTAGTTTATAAATTTTGATGGTATATTTATTATTATCTAAACAATGTTTGTACATCTTTGATAAACAATGATGTTGGCACATTTTTCTTAATAAGGTTTATTTACCTATAAACTGCATTGTTTGGTTCTATCTTTTAGGGTGAATCACACATTTTTATCCACCATGCCAAACCATTTAACTTTACGATTAGGCCAGGCCATACATTGGTGGTGGTGCTTGAACAAATTACATGTAAATCTATTGTATGTTGATGTATATCTACCTTCCCAACTTCAACATCTTAGCCTAGCTTTTGAATTATTTACTAATTCATCTCCATCAATTTTACTTTCTTAGCCATAACTAGTATCCATTAACAATAGTCTTGTAACTAAATAAATTAATAGCTAGTGTTCATAAACCCTGACCTTCACTTTAGTTAGATCAAAGTGAACAAATGCTTAAAGGAGTGTTCATCCTTTTTTATCACAAACTTGCTTTTCACCTTAACTCAATAAGAACTGCATAGTTTTTTATCACAAACTTTTGTTTCTAAAACTATTTGATTGATCTTTTTAAATAATCAACAAACTAACACACTCTTTCCTTTGTTTAGTCTCTGATGTTAAGAAACGAATTGATATAATTTTTTTTTTGTTAATAATCGATTTAAAAAACTAAAATTTGATTAGAATTTTTTTTTTTAGTCTACACTATTCTGTGAATGTAATGATTTAAATTAAAAATTAAAAATAAAATCATTTATTATATTTAAAATAAAATAAAAAACAATAATTATACATAAAAATTAATGCTGTTTTATAATATATTTTTTAAAATATATTAATAAGTTTTTACTGTAATTTTGAAATATAAAATTATGTATGATAAGAGTTAAAATCATAAATACAATAATTAATATATAATTATCTTTTTTTACATATTTGAAAATTTTAACTATTTAACAATTTTTTTATTAATTATTTTAAATATTGTAGATCTAATTCAGATCCTACAATATTTAATTTATTTAAATATTTATTAAATTAAAAAAATCATATTTAATTTTGGATTTAATTTTTAATAATGATTTAGTATAAAAATTAAGCCGAATACAATTTATTTATTTTTTTCTCTTTCTAGAAGGTCTAAAAATAAAAATATATAAAAAGAAAAAACTGTTTGATAATTTGATTGAAAACACACAGCTGTTACACTATCATATTCTTAGGAATATAAAACACTTTTTCACGTGAATTATGTCAAAAACACAACATCGTAAAGTTTGCTCCATTTATAATTTGTCAAAGAGCAGTGTACCCCACTCAATAAAATATGAGAGCAGATAACATTTTAAAGGGTGAGATTTTCTACGTGGACTTTGTCATGGGGCGAACCATGCTGCAACATAATCTAACAAGATATCCTCATTTCGTGAACAAATAAATCATTGTTTCAAAAACAAACAATTTATTCCTTCTTATAATACAGGGTACTATTGTCACAAGTTATGTGAACTTAAGGATTTGAATTCAAATTAATAATTTTTTCAAAATAAAAAATGAGACTAACTTACTTAACTTAAAATATAATCAATGGTGGAAGTAAAATTATAATGTTTGAAAAAATTAAATAAGTTTATTAATTTTTGAATTCAAATATTTCATTATAATTTTTTCATTCAATTAATTTGTTTTTTAAAAGTTTGGAAGTTGAAAATTTGGGGAAAAAGTTATAACAATTGAATTTGGAAAAAGGGGAAATTTAAGATTTTGCTTTTAATTTAAAATAAAATTTACAGTTTTAAATGACTTGTTTCGAGTAGAATTAGATTCAAGATAATTTAACAAATTTAAGTAGAGAAGGCTTAAGAAAAGCAAATTATGGAAGTAATCCCAAATACAGAGATAAAAATGCAATGAAGCTTGTAATAGCAAATGTCAATAACTTGTGTACTTAGAGAGTTCTATTGCTAATACGGGGTGTGAATAGCATATTACAAGTTAGGTTTTACGTAAATAGATTTGACATATTATTAAAAAAATTAAGATTTGATTTAACTTGTTATTAACAAAATTAAGGTATCATAATCTATTAATTTATCGAAGTTTTTTTTATTGGCTTGGTCTTTTAATATGTTCAACATGTCGCGTCAATAATAATTTTAAGAAAAAATATTTAGAGCATCTTTAAATAGTGTTATTATTAAGAATTTTTTAAAAATAAAATTGAATATTTTATTATAAATCTCACCTTTAAGTTAGTTAAAAATAAAAAAAGCTGTTTAAAATTAAAAAAGAAAAGATGTTTGTATAAGCAATTCTAATCAAATTTTAAATAAGAATCATAATAAAATATTTAATTTTATTTATAAATAACTCTAATTAAAAACTTCCTTTAAATATGTTCTTATAAAATTATATAATCATTAAAATAAGAAACACATGCTCTTATAAAATTATATAATCATTAAAATAAGAAACACATAATTACAAATATTAATTTTTTTAATTATTTTCACATTTCTTTCCAGAAATACCTTTTAATTAATTTAAATTATATTTCAACTATTTTTAATTATTTTTCAAATATTTTTGTATTTTCTTAATAAAGAAAACAATAATTTTTAAATGTAACTAATAGAATTAAACGATATTAACTAGTTTTCTTAATTAACAAAAAATTCAGTTAAAAAAATGTACATGTATGCAATGCAAACCTGTCCTTGTTACCCAAGAGATCTATATGGCACATAATTGAAACAAATTAAAACTTGAATTAAAGGTTTTAATTACTATGTCGTGTAAGTTTAAATATTTGGCATTGTCATTAAAAAACACATAGTTGGTATGACTTTGGTAGTTGTAATAAAAGCCACTAAAAGTTTATAATTGAATACCAGAATAAATTTATTTTGTGTTATCCATGTACGATCAATTCTTTAAATTTAGATTGAGAATGCATGCAAATCAGCAAAACTAGTTAAGAAATTGAAAGTGATTTTTTTTTTAATTAGAATGTGCAGAAATATATTTTTCTAAATTGTTGAAGTGAACCACACCCAAACCTTTTCTTTCACCGCAGGATTCAGTATTTCACCATGTTTTGCGTGTGCTACTTTTTCCTCAATCGGATTCCAAACTCAAGTTTTTCACATACTGTTCCCTTTAATTAATTTAATTACACTCCTCCCGAGGGTGTAATTTCTTAAGGGCCAAGCATTAACCTGATGATTTTTATAACAACTTTCACAATCTTCAAGTTTCTCACTTCTCTTCACACGAGCAGGCTCCAAGACTTGCAGATGATGTCAACAGTTTCAGTGTCATCACGTTTATTGAATTCGTAAACCATGTCAAATGGGGTATTCTCATTTGTTTAAATAATGTTTTGATATGAGTTTTGAAACTATGTGTGAACATGTTCATGCAGAAAAAAAAAAAAAAAAAGCATAATGGAAACAAAGATAATGAAGGTGATTTGTTGTGATGAGGCCACATTTTGTTTTGTTCCATAGTAGAAAGCATACCATTTTTATTGCTTTTGGGAGGGATTAACAAGTGCAAACCTTAACATTATACTAGTAGTGGTGGTAGTAGTGAGGACTTAACAAGACCAGAAACAGAAGGTTTGATCTTCCACTGGGAAACGGAAAGTGCAAGGATTTTCAGGTGGTTCATCATAGCATACATATTCAACTTCAACCTTTGGTTGGAATGGCATGGTCAAGATGTTTTGGCTGAGAATGTCTTCCTCATCTTGTGAGAAATCCGAGTGGTCTTGTTCCAAAGCATGAGAGGAATCTGCAGGGTCCAAGTGTGAGGATTGGTTTCCATCAGTGAAATATGGGCTCTCCGAATCAAGCACATCACTTTTAGCTGAATTAGCATCTTCCTGTTTGCTTATTACCATAACAGGAAGTGCCACCTTGGATCCATTTTCAGAACCTCTATTTATGATCAAATCCTTCTGCTCTTTATGCTCTGAGTTGACAGCATCAGAGCTGGTGTTACCCAAATTCTGTCCGTCTTTCTCTCCGGGAATCACTTTCTTCTTGAGAGAATAAACCTGTGACAAAGAAAATTGTACCCATTCTACCATTAACCTTTAGGACAGAAATAAACCAAATTGATCTCTGAAACTACATGCATGAGTCAATTTACTCTCTAGCTTATCAAGCTTAAGTTATCTTAGTCTTTATTTTTTGTAATTTCAAGAACTTGAATGCGAGTTATTTGATAATTTCAAGGACTGGATGGGTATTCCTAAATTGATTGGCCAATTTGGTGTGTAGAACTAAATTGACAGTTTACTTGAACTTAATACGAAGGACAATAAGAGCAGAGGAAGATGTTTTAAGTGGGTGTTTATTATTACTGTTAACAAGACTATCTGGAATGGAATATTTTCTAGGCGATTTAAGTACTGGCACAATTTGTTGAGATTCACTCTTTATCCCTTTGATTAGTAGAACAAAAAAAATGAAGTTAAATGAATAATTTATTTTATTTATGTCCAAGCATTGTTACCTCTTCCTTCAACTTGTGATTCTCTTGAACGAGATTGTCATAGTCCCTTTTGAGAATGTCATAGCTATCTTTCAACATGCCATAGTCTGTTTCTAGCTGTTTGGTCTTGAACCTTGCCCTACGGTTTTGGAACCATATGGCCACTTGCCTTGGTTGCATGCCAAGTTCCTTTGCAAGTTGGACTTTTCTTTCGGGTTCAAGCTTGTTTTCCACCTCGAAGTTACTTTCAAGGAACTGAACTTGTTCGCTTGTGAGCCTCCTTTTCTTACCGGGTTGATGGGGGAGTGCCTCAAAATCCTCATCATCACCGTTCTCTTCTTTCTCAACCCCTCGGAAGAAGGGCCTCTCCGTCACATTCACAACATCAACAAAGGATTTTGAACCTGAATTCAAGACACCGAAGTTTAACAACCATGCTAGCGTTCAAACAAAAACGGTTTTCAGAGAAAAAAAAATCCCTGGTTTCATATGGGAAAGATTATTATCAGAAGCAAACCAGAATCTATCAGAAACCCACTTCTGATTTTGTAAAAAAAAAAAAAAAAAAAAAAAAAACTTTTTGATGTTCTAAAGAAATCAGCTACTCCAAGAACATTATGAATTCACAAGCCAGAGACAATAATGAAGAAGCCAAAAACATGATCTTAGAAAATCACCTTGGAAAGAAGGTTCAGAGTTTTGAACCCAAAAGGTTTGAATAAGCTCAGGGGAGCATGGAAGCCTTTCTCTTTGGAGTAGAAGTGTCATGCTTGAACTCCCATGAAGCTTCTCACTAGCCATGGCCTTATAAGGAAACTTGTTGGTGGTTAATAGTATATATGGTACATCTTACAAGACTGTTAGGTGTGTAGTATTGAAAGAATTTAAAAAGGTCGTATTCATATCATAACCTACAGAAGGAGCAGAGGGATGAGGCTCTTTGGTTTGATCAAAATTAATGGTGAAAGGTGCAGGTGGTGGGGAATAATGTGATATGGGAATTGTGAGAGTGGGGAGTGAGCATCATAGCCATCACAGACAGAGGAATTAAGGCTATGTCAGATGTAAATAAATTGCAGGACAAACGGTGGTGCACTCTTCTATGTTTGGAAAAAGACAGAGAGCATGATCAGAGGGAGTAGTAGTAAGAGCTTTATCTCTTCGGTTCAAAGGGGACAGAGGTTGATGGGAGTTGGAAATTTGGTTTTGAGTTGATAAGTGATGTAAAGGGAGATTCCTGTTGATGATGGTGGGGAACTTTGATGGGGTTTATATGGAGAGCCTTGGAATGGTGAAGCGATTGGGGAAACATTCACAAACAAGGGCCCTCCAAGCACACACAAGTTTATTTTTTACATTTTGTTTGTTGAAATCTTCTTGTTTTGCTTTATCTTCAAAAGCAGTTCTATTAAACAAGGTAGAGACTTCTTTTTCCTTCTTTAAGCAATTTATTTAATCAAGAAAACAACCCCATTATCTCACATTTTAATGAAAAAGATATTGTTTCACTTTTTCTGCACGTGTTTATTAATTTGACATTTTATAAACTAACAAAATAAAAAGTTTCTTTTAAGTTATTTATTCATATAATCTCATTGAAATTGCAAATTATCTCTCTTTGTCACACCATGGTGGCCGTCACATAGAAGTTGCATTAAGCTCGTAATCCCAGTAGTGAATGCATTTACTAGCTACTGCCTAAAGATATAACTCCACTGATATGTTGACAAAATTGAATAAAGTCTGCAGCAGAATTATAGGTTTGGAATCAAGTGGCTTGTTTATGTATGGAGAAGACAAATGAAGTTCAAGAAAAGTAAATGAATTAGATGGGAAATGTTCCAATTTAAAAATAGAAGACGACCAAATATAAACACAACAGAAACCATTATTTCACCAGAATTTCTCACAGGAAAACTCCAAATTTAATCCTTAGGTGAAAAATTGTGGTCAGAAAGCTAGAATATGTGATTCCAGGATTCAAACCTTGACATGGTTAGGTAAAGTCATCCTAGAACGTATCTTCCATTGTGATCAATTCATTGTTTCTGTCTTTGCTGCTCTCCTTTACCGCCATGGATTCGCAGTTCTGTTCAATTACACCATTTTTTTTGGTTATGATGAAGAAAAAAAGAAGGTGTGAATCTCAAACTAAGTGACCAGTTATGGTTCAGGACCACTTTAAATGTTTCTAGTTGTAGGTGTATTTCTGCACTTAAATTGTTGGGTGCCTCAATTTGATTTTCCGCAGGACATTAATAGAATATGTCCAGTCTCATTGCGTGGAATTCTGCTCTTAATTATATAGAAGTGGATGGTTTTATTGCTTTATTATTCTAATGCATGCATGTGCTTTAATTTGTAACAAGCCACGCTATTGTGCTATATGGGTTTGGTACTTCGAAAAATCTGCAATTTTGATGATATTAGCAATATATTATGAACTTCTTTTCAAACATCACATGAATGCTAGGTTTTGGCTCACTACGTCTTGGTTCTCCATAACTAAAACGTTTCATTTTATCTCTAATCAATATAATTTTTATTTTTATTTTACTTGCAGAAAAATAACTTAACATGATCAATATTTATAAAAGTGCTTATATAAATCTTTCTCATTTTAATTTATTCATATTATTGATTCAAGATAATTGTAAAATTGCATCAATGATTGCAAGTGCAATAAAGAACATTTCATTACACACTTAGGTTAATAAATTATTATTTATTTCAAAGTTTTAAAAAGCAATTGGAAAAAAGATTCGTGTATACACATGACTATCAAGTTCTTTTGTATAAATAAGTTATTTAAAAAAAAATCATAATGGTTATTGCATAATTAGACTAAAAAATAAAAAAGAAAATATACAAAATATTTATCTAAGATATGTCATCCACGTATCTTCATTGAATTATTTGAGGGTATATAAAATTTTTCAGAGGTGTAAAATGTATAAAATACAATAAAATTAAAAGATAATGTTATGTGAATTTCAAGATAAAAAAAACCGGGGTGCTAAGACTTTTTTCTAGTAGAATAAATTATCTACATACTATAATTAAATAATAATATCTTATATATAAAGAACATTAAGTTTGTACTCCTTACCGAGGTGTTAAAACATGACCCAAAAGATATATTAATCTAAAAAATTTATGATTTAAATTAAATTAAAATTGTTTACCTCATAATAATCATAAATGTTGATTTTATTATGATATGACTGATTAACTTATTAAATTATCCAAAAATAAAATAAAATATTTTAATGACGATAAAAAGTATCAGCAGCATTTTTACACTTACAAGTCTCTAAAGAAAGAGTTTTTTTCTTTTTTAATGATTTTTGTGGTTACCTCCCTCTCCATCCCCTCATTATATTCAACACAACATACAATCTTTCAAAAGAAATTCAAAAATTATTTGAAATACAAACCCTTATCTTATGTTTTGCTTTTCTCACTATTGTTAATTTAATTTTTCATTTTATGTATGATGATTATATGATTCAAAATTACTATTATTATTCTCATATAAAGAAAAAAAACTCCTTATACATGTATCAATTGGATAAAAAAATATCTTAAAAGAAAAAGTATATGTAGAATGGTTTTGAAAATCTTGAATTACCTGAAAGGCATTCTATGCTTGAAGTTTGATAGTACTTTATGCTTTTGTCACTGAATTTGTGGTTGGTCGTTTGTGTAATAGATATATTTGTTTGATATAAGATTTATATATTACCAGCATTAGAAGAAGAAAAAAAATAAAATTATATATACATATATATATATATATATATATATATATATATATATATATATGTGTGTGTGTGTGTGTGTGTGTGTGTGTGACAGAAATTCGTAGAGGTGAAAGTCTTGTATTGTGTGTGTGGTTGAGTTTTGTGGATCCTTTCCTTTATAGTATGGATCATCCTTTTTCCCCTTCACAGAAAAAATTAGCGGTGAAAGAGAAATGTGAAGAATAAATGTACAACGAAAAGCTGGAGAACCTCTTTAATTCTTTCTTTTTCTGGGCGAATAATCAGAGTTGGAGAGTGTTTGTCTTTATGCACGGTACGACTGAGTTTGTATGAGGCGTTGGAGTTGGCGTACTCGTAAATAGCAGAGATTTGCAAATGTTCTGTTCCATTGGTTTCAATATATGAAGAAAACGCAAATATCAAATTGATGCTTCTGCTGCATTGCATGGAGGAAATATCCAAGTTATAGAGCACCCAAGGAAGTGGAAATATAATTAATAAACAAACACATTCATGGACCTGTCATTGTTGAATGAACAGACAAGACACATGAAGCAAGGATCATTTCATGTATCTGCTTCACTTGCTTCTGTCTGCAAGATTTTGTTAAAGCAGAATAAAAGTATACCGCACATGCATCATCAAACCAAAACCATTGATCAATCTGTGGATTTCAGGACTGCTAAGTTCATGCTCATTTTTAAGACTTTCGTACCTTATTTTACAGTATTCAGAATGACCTGCTAAATTCAACTCTCTTATCTTCAACAGTCAGTTATAATTATTTATAAATCATAACCATGGTTCACTGAAGAGTAATAAAGTTTTCAAACTCAAGACAATTTGATTGATACCATTAAATATATGGCTATGGTGTTGGATTGGAAAGTGGAACTTCTTTAATTGCCAATTTTATATATATTTGATTCATTATGAGTAGGAATAGGACATGGTACCTAATTACCAAAAACAAACCTAGCTATTTCAAAAATTCTAAAAACATTTGAGGCATGCTTTTGGCTTGCCTGCCACATGAGTTGGCGTGAGTCTTGACCACCTTTGCAATGTCTTTTTATTGGCATTGGGTAGCATTTCAAAATATCACGACTCATTATGTAATATACTTTTCATATAAACAAATATTGAAAACTTCAACCTTTTATATTTTAATATTTATTATTATATTATAATAATATAATATTATTAATAATGATAATGTATTAATAATAAAATATTTGATTAATACTTTTGATCATAATAATTATAATAATATTATAAGAATAATAATATTAATAATTAAATAAATTAAAATTATTAATAATATAAAAACTATTAATATAATAATATTAATAATAGTAAGACTTCAATATTAAATAGTACGATTTCTTCTAAAAAAAATAAAACTGAAGTTTATAACTAAATATTTATCTGGATGGTTTATTATTTATATTATTTTCAAGATTTAATAGATTTTTTATATATAATAAATTAAAAATAATCTAATCTTTTTTTATTATTAATTTTTATAAAATTATGAAAAATATATGTTTAAACTTCTTTACCAATTTTTTTATCTTTTTTTTTAATTTTATTTAATTTTTAAAATATCGTTTTAATCCATAAAAGAATTATCAGTGGATGAATTGAATTGAATTGAATTGTTATTAAATAAATCCTATTAAAATAATTTTTTAATTACTTTTTTAGTGAAATAAAGAGGGTTAATGAATTATTTATCCAAATTAATTTTAAAATAAAATTCATTGGATTCCTCCATTTTGTCAGTCCGTTATTTTAAAAAGAAATAATAATAATAATAATAATAATAATAATAATAATAATAATAATAATAATAATAATAATAATACGGATCACCAAAACATTTTACATAAATTATATTTATAACCAATCTGTAAAACATTTTCTACATGGATTACATAAATTGAACTTATAAGGAAGGTAAAGTGGTTTAATTAATTACATTAATCTCACCATACTTTTTTATATTAATTACTTACAGCCAATATAAATAATATG